GTAGATGGGGAAGAAGGGGTGAATGAAATGATAAACGAAGATAAAGCAAATTGGGCTTTGTAGGATTGTGAAACTTTGAAATGAAAGCAGGTTTTATGAAGATCAAAAGRTAAAGCAAAGCGAAGAGATGCTATATTAGGAAGTTCCTTGTATACTTACTGTAAGACGGACCACAGATTAACTCATGAGTTTGTAAATATAAAGTGGAAATGTTGGAATCAAGACAATCAAATAAGATAAATTGTTATTGGAACATCTTAAATGTGAGCTTCACCTTTTCCTCTTTGGCTCAACTCCCAGCCGTTTGGTGAAAACAACATAAACCCCACAAAAATCTCTGATGTAATATTTATTTTGTGTTTGTGCAGAGTGTAGTCCTTTCTTAGAAAACATCTAATGATATAAACTTTTAGAAATCTTTGAGCTGAACGCGCTCTGGTTCTTGTTTTTTTTTTCTTTTCATCCGTTCTGCACTGAAACTTTCTAAAACTAAGTCAAAAAGCAGCACATGCTGATTTGTTTCCTGTATCTGGGGTCAGAGGTCARGGATGGTGGCAGGTTTTGTAATTGGGAACGTTCTCATTAACGACGCAGACGGGGTCCGGATGAGCCCCTGGGTCAGCCTGTCAGCGGGGTTATCATGTGGGTGGTGGGACTGCTGCTTTGGTTGGCGGGGAGAGACCACCACAGTTTAGTCATTTCCTCTTGACCTTTGGTGGCCTGAGGGGTCAGCAGGTTGGGACTTCCAGACAGGGCTTTGGTCCTGTTAGAGCAGGGGTCTGCAAYCTGCGGCTCTAGGGCCACATGTGGCTCTTTGGTCCCTCTGCAGTGGCTCTTTGAAAATGTGACCAAACATAACAGAATAAATAGTTTTTTTGGTTTTTACACCCGAAACAGAAATCAATTTGTATGGAAATATGTGATCAATACCACTAATACAAAAAGTAAAACATGTTAGCCTGTTGTTTACTTAAATAATCCCACTTATTTTTCTCAAATCAATCAGTTACCTTTAAATCATTTGAAATAATAAGATAAATAATAATAATAAGAATTAGAAAAAAATGCCTGAATAATTCAGTTGTACTGCTTTTTATGAAATTCAGTATAAACGATATACTGTATTTTTCTTGTTTACATGAATA